AGTCCATATTATTATGCTCTTGTCTATGAGATGGATATACTTCTCTACACTGATATGGGTTTTCTTGATGAACACACTACCTCAGCCTAGGGGGTGGACTCCAGCATACCAATTGTGCTACACTTTCACTTTCAATTTGCCAGTAAAGATTTGAATGCGTTTATGAACCATTACTGGAGTACATTATTGTTAAGTATAAATCTTTATGCTCTATAGTAGACATTATTCTAAATAAAAGAGGGTGATGGTGGCATTGATGATTCTCTACCAATCCCTGCAAGTGGTCAGCAAAAATCTATCACAAAATTTCATTTCTTTCAATACAACACATCTCTAAAAAATGAAGCAAGAGCTTATTTTGCAAGATCTTCACAGAAACCAATTAATCAACAAACAGATTCTCAGATCTGCCAAATGCCTCATAAATAAGATGTGGATCATGCTCAGCTAATAAGGAAATCCTATTATTGTCAATAATATTCATTCAATTTATGTAAGGGTAATAATCCCCTACATGTGTCTTTTATAATCAGGTGCAGGAGTAAAACAACTTCAATCAACACCAGAAGAGCCGAGCAAGGAGCAAAAAGCATTTGAGGTAGGAATAGGTGTATATTACATATACTGTAACTTAAATTATTTGAAGAAAATGGGTTTGGTGGAGGAAGGCATTTACTACAAACCTGAAAGCTGGGCAAGGATGAGAGAAAGTGCTCTAGTGAGAAGCTTAATCACTACTTCTTACAGTGTGGAGAAGCTGGTAGCTTCATCTCCCACAATTGGAAAATTCAACCCGTTGATACAAAATGCTATAATTGGATATGCATTAAAAATATGTTGATAGATCTACCATGACCTCAGTCCCAAGAGGCACTGTAACCACAAATATTGGCACTGTAACCAGTGCCCATATTTAAATAATGGCACTGTTGAACCCTTTGGATTCAGGCCACTCTTCATCATCTTTGTCGTTGTTATTATTATTATTTATTATTATTATTATTATTTGTTATTACCATTATGAGGCAATACTGAGTAAAAGAAAATAAATTGTTAATATATTATTGTTGTTGTTATTTGTTATTATTAGGCCACTCCAATTAGATTTGCCCAATTCTATAAAAACTTCAAGTGGGCCATTACTACAGTTTAAACGTGAAAATGTTCCTGTTTCTTTTTGTTGCAAGAGCCTAAAAATGTAGCTGTGCAAGCATGGCCTTAGTATTTTGATTGTAGTATGTAAATGTATTTCTTTAAAAAGCATTATGAGGTTCAGACTCAAATCAATTATCATGTAAAAGAACTTGAGAGCAAGTAAGTTGGGACTGAATAATCATGTTATACATATTTTTGCTCCACAACTTTATCTAGCTGAGCAAAGATGCTACAACCATGGATATGAAACAGGAAGTGTAATATACATGAATTTATAAGGATGACATCATTAATGCTGTGCCTATGTGAGCACTTTTGTAAAGAAGATGAAGTGGACTTGAACTGACTTTTGATCTATTCACACATCTCATAGGCTTGCTGTACTGACCTTTTTTCTCAAGAAATTTGAAATTAATTGTTTAAGAAAACCCCAGAAGTCCTTTTTATTATTTTATGAAACTATAGCTGCACTACACAGCAAGAAATGATACATTAATCAATAGTTATAACCCAATTCAGTTATCTGCTTGGAGGGCCAATATAGATATGCAGTACTGTCACTACTGTGTATCAAATAGTGATGGGCAATATATCAATTCTTTATCGATATAAACGATATTTTACGGTATCGATCTGCATCATTATCGAAATTTTTATGCCAAAATAATCGATCTCTGGACCACGCCCCTTTATTACAGTTAACTAACCAATTTTAAATTAATAAGCTGTGGTTAATATATAATTATTAATAACTATTATAAATAATTATTAGTATTAATCCTTGTGTAAACTTAATAGCAAGCCTAAGCTGTCAAGTACCGTATAGCTTGCTTTTGCAAGCCAACCTCCATACTCCTTGCATGCAACTAACAGCTGCTAGTATAAAAGAGCTGGCCCAGTGCTTGGTTTATAACAAACTCAAGCAATTAAGCATTTCCATTTGCCAAGAAACAGAAGTCATCATTGTCTGGAAGTCTAAAGACCATATTTAGTCCTCTCTTCACTGTTTAAGGCTATTCTGCTACTTCTTTATCATTATGGCATCCAGTTCCTCTACCAGGTAGAAACTAGTCATTTTTACGTCAAATGACATATACACATTCCAACTTTTAGCAGTAGTACAGGTCCTGCAGTACTTCCTACCACCAGTAGAAAGAAAAGAAGTTTGGTCTGGAATTATTTTACTCCAAGTGCTAAGGAAAAGGAAGCCATTTGTAACATATGTGGAATAAAGGTTCCTACATCAGGAAACACCACCAATCTAACAAATGTAGGTATTTCAGTCATAGTATTGTCCATTTTAGTTTATTTAAATCTATAGCATCTGGAAAGGAACCATGATAAAGAACATAAAGAACTCACTGAAACAAGGGAATCTGAAAAATCAGCTAAAAGACAGAAGCAGCAAGAATCAGCTGCCAAACAACTGACGCTACAAAGTTCAATAGCAAGAACACATGGATATGGCAGTAAGTGCATGCATGTACTTCATGCATGGCTTAATTTACTCTGCTTTTTTTAGAAGAGTCCCTTCGTCGTGCTTCAATTGATAGAGCACTAGTCAATATGCTAGTAGCCGACTTTCAACCAGCATCCATTGTTGAAGATGAAGGTTTTGTTCAATTCTTGAAAGTCATTGATCAGAGATATCAGCCTCCAAGTCGTCGTACTCTCATGCGTGACCACCTTCCACAGCTATATGAGGAAAAGGTAGCAGAGCTGAAGGAGAAACTCATGTCCATTGAACATTGTACTCTGACCACTGACTTGTGGACATCAAATCAGACAATGGGTTACCTCACTGTCACTTGCCACTTCATTTCACAAAGCTGGGAAATAGAGTCCTATGTGCTGGAGACAACTCATGTGGATCAAGCACATACTATAGAGAATCTTGCATCAGAGCTAATCACTATCACTGACAAATGGAATATAAGTTTCAAAGTTCATTGCACTGTCATTGACAATGCTACCAACATCAAGGGAGCTGTGAGAGCAAATGCATGGAATCATCTCTCATGCTTCGCTCATACTCTCAATTTAATTGTTAGTAACTCATTGAGCTCAGTTCCAGAAGCACAATCACTAATTCAAAGTGTAAAGAATATTGTCACCTTTTTCGTCGTAGCACAAAAGCAATGGATAAATTGACTGTAATGCAATCTCGACTTAACATTCCACAACATAAACTGATCCAGGATGTTGAAACTCGATGGAATTCAGTCTTTTATATGCTAGAGCGATACTTGGAGCAGGAGGAGGCTATAAGGACTACACTTTGTATGATGGATAGAAATGATCTTCTCATTCCCACCGAGAAAAACTCAGAGCTCTCAGAGATGGTGGATATCCTCAGACCTTTTGAAGCTGTAACTCGAGAGATGTCTGCTGACAAATATGTCTCCAGTTCCAAAATAATACCTCTAGCGAAAGGTTTACAACGATGCAGCAGCAATAGTAACAACAAGATTAGTGAAGCATTATGTTCTCAAATGTCAGGAAGATTTCTCAATATGGAAGCCAATGTTCTAATTGCTTCAGCAACACTGCTTGATCCACGCTTCAAAAAAATTGGATTCTCTGATCAGAGAGCAGCTGATCAAATAGCTCGACATTTGACAGCTGAGATAACACAGATGATGAGATCCAGAGAAGCAACTAGTCAAACAACAGCCACAGCTACAACCTATGAAGTGGCCCAGGACACAGCTGATTCTGTATGGAGGTTTTTTGATGAACAGGTCTCTTCTCAATCTAACATACATCCTGGGGTGACTGCCTTCTCAGAGGTAGATAAGTATTTAAAAACTCCAGTATTACAAAGGACAGAAGACCCACTTAACTGGTGGAAAGAGAACAGTCAAGTTTTTCCTCAGCTAGCTCCGCTAGCAAGAAAGTATCTCAGTCTATTGGCAACTTCAGTACCTTCTGAAAGACTGTTTAGCAAGGCGGGTGAACTAGTATCCCTGAAAAGGAACAGACTCAAGCCAAAGAACGTGAACATGTTTCTTTTCTTAAATAAGTATCATTAGTTGTAGTATTGTACATGATTGTGTAAACCACACCTATTGGGTGTGGTAAGGCGTGGTTATCATATCATTTTGAATCGATATTGCTTTAAAAATTGGATTATCGATCGTTATCGAATAATAGTAAAATTTCCAATATCGCCCATCACTAGTATCAAAACAAAAAGTAATTGAATACATTGCCAAATATGTTATGAAATGCAAACCTCATTCCACTACAATGAAGGAGGTGTATGAAAACATAATGCGTAACATCAAGGATGATACCTCAGTTCTTAAAGGAGTGCAAAAGCAAAAGGTACTTATTAATAGTATAGGTGATAAAGACTTTTCCGCACAGGAAACATGTAATCTCCTCCTACAACTCCCTTTAATACAATCAACTAGGGACTACATCATTCCCAACATCAATGGATCTTGTGAAGTAGAATAACAGCTATGAACTAATACAAGCAGATCTCGAGCCACCATTCCATCAATACTGAATCACTATATTCCACATCCAACCAATGACCATGTACTTTGGGAACAATACTCTCATGTTTTTTGCTCAAAAGTACTCTATTCCACAAAAAACTAGGCACAAGAAACACAGCAACCCCTTTTATTGCAACTATAGCAGTGTGGCCCGCCAGCCGCCATTTCAATGTAAAACTTGCAAAGCTTGTAAAAGACAGTGGTGTTTATATCAAGGAGCATGCACTTAAAAAGGCTGTGTCTAGGTCCAAGAAGACAGCATCAGGACTGACAAGATGCCTTGTGAATGTATTTTATAGCAATCAAAGATTGGCAAGTTGCTCGGCCAATAAAAAGATTAATATTCTCTGATTAGGGATGATTGCGAAGCAAATTCATGTAAATTTTATGAAATTTTACAAGACATGTATGTTTTGTACATGTTTTGTACTTTCTTTTTCAACAGGGATCACTAGTAAGGAAAACTGGCCTTCACTGGAGGTGTCAAGGTCAACTATTAAGAGGGCCACAAGAAACTAGGTTGGGTAGCAACAAGGCTAATACTGTCAGCTAGTCAACAAAGAAAACAAAAAAGGCTGACTTGGTGTCTGGAATAAATACGTGTTGGAGAGCAAGTTGGCAATGGTGTCTTCACTGATGAGTGCTCCATCCAGTTAAAAAAATACAGCAGAATATGTTTCAGGAGAGTAAGCCCCAACCTAAATTACCTATTTTGCACACATTTTGGTGTACATGTACACCAAAATAATCCAATTCTACTAAAGTTACATGACACATTACATGAACAATTTTTTTGCAGCATGAAATTTTCAGGACATAATATGCATGTTTTTTTCCAATAGGGTATTCTATTCCTTGTCATGGAAGTTATTTCTTTGTAATAAAGAGGATGTGGATTCTCCTTCATTCCCTTCACAATAGGTGCCCACCAGTTGACCTGAATTGCTCCCCACTACCAGCTCCAATGCATGCAGTAATTGCAGTTGCTGATCAGCACATCCCATCACAATAAGACACACACAGCTGGAACAAATAGCTTTATCCAATACCAATTGTCTCTAGATCTGGAGACTTGGAGGTCCTCTTCCCCTTCTACCACTATCAATTCCGCCTCATCCAGTAGATGGAGGGATTCTCCAGTAGATGAGGGCTGGAGGTACTCAAGCTCCAGCTCCACTTGCAGTGACTGGAGGATTAAAGATATCTAGATGAAAATGAATCAGAAAGCCTTTCAAGTTGGCCCAGGGATATATAATTCATAATCAAACCTATATAATTTATAATATCATTTATTCAAAGTAAAGGTTGTAAGTGGAAGCAGTGTGTGGTAGTACTATAGAGACTATTGAGTATAGCCTCTGATATACAATTCTGACCAAATATTTTAAAAGGCATTTTCAAGAAGAAAATAGCAACATCAAGGCTAACAAAATGCCGTTCTGCCAATGAAGGTATCAATCATTTAATTAGATACAAGTATACCACCATCATGACTGCCAGATTTCACTTACGGTATCTCAATAAATATCATTAAAAATGATGATCATGCATTCACACAATTTGGTGGGAATTCTTGTCATTATACTTTCACTAACTACGAGATTTTCAAATATTGAAGACAATGAATTACTGATAGTTGCTACATTAATAGATCCTCGATTTAAGAACAAGTTTTTTATTTCTACAAGTACAAAGACCAAAGCAGAAGCTATGGTACGTTCTTTAATGGGGAGTGCCACTGATTCAGGAGATAGTCTAGAAAAGCCACCATCTAAACACCATTGTACTGGAATATGGAAAACGTTTAATGAAATTTTAGAAGAAAGTGGCACTTCAATTGATGAAGAAGAGAGAGCAGATGAGTTAAGTATGTATATTTCTGAGCCCCTTGTACCATTTGGCCAGAAAATTGGATTTCAGTGATGGGCTGAAAACTCTAAAAGATTCCCTGCTTTGTCCAAAATAGCGCAAAAATATTTTATGTGTACCACCTACTTCGGTACCATCAGAGAGGCTGTTTTCAAGTGCCGGTTCGGAACATCTATGATGACAAAAGGAATCGTCTTGCACCAGAAAATGCAGAGACACTCCTTTTTATTAAAAACAACATAAAACTGATGAATTTGTAATTGATTATTTGATGTTGAATCATTTCTTAATTAATACTAACAAATAACAATTATATCATATCGGTAATAAATATCGGTTTTCTTATGCTTATTATATCGGTTATCGGTGTATCGGTTGAAATAGCATATCGGTGCAACTCTACTCCAAAGCATATAGCATCCTAGTACAAAGAGATGAAGTCAAGGCCATTATAAGTTTACATGATACATCTATTTTAATAATCCATTATATTTTAGGCTGCAATTATCTGCACTGCATTACAATGCCAACAGTGACAGGTAGCAACCCACCACTGTAATTGGTTCTGAAAGGTATACATGAAGTACTGCATTCCCTAAATACAAGAAAGGAGGATACATACAGTGCCGCTCATAGGAAAGTTTATGCACTCATGTACTGTCTGCGAGAGTAAACTCACGTGTAAGGCGTGCAACATGGATGCATCCAATGAGACAAGATTGTGTGCGCCATAACAAATGCGGGGGTGTGCAAATACACACTTGTATACTCGCGATCACACGTGCAAGCACACGACTATATAAAAGCCGCAGGCGCGAGGGGTTTGCTTGAAAGAACACAAGAATGATTGAAAGAACAGCTGTAATAAGATATAATGAACAGAACAGATGAGATGGTGACTATAAGGATAGGCAAGAAGCCTCATGTGC